CCGAGCCCACCGACCACTCACAATCTGAACGGAACGTGTCGGTGTGCTCGGCCAAGTCACGAATTTACGCCAGGATAATTATGGAGAGGTTAATTTATGTAATGCACAGGATTAGCCCCCTAATTTCCCGGGGCCCAGTCCTTAATCGCGGCCCAATAAGAATCACTATAAATAGGACCCTAGCGAGGTACGTAACTAACTTTCAACTACCACATTTATTACGCCGAGCACTTACTTGAGCATTGGAGTGTCTTTACAGGCACACCCCCCCTCACATCGGACTACCCGGATAGGAACGAGAAGACCGAGACCCAGGATCAGACTTGCTACAACAAGGATAAGTGAAGTGTGTATCCTAACACAGGAACATTTGGCGCCCATCGTGGGGCCGAAGAGACGTTTTCAGCCCCTTTTAACTCTACAACTGAGACCGAGATATGGTAGTAACACGCAAAGGACCATCGACATCGACTCAACTGATCCCCAACCCCGAGAACAATCCCGTCATGACCGGCCAAGAACGATACCCATACAGAATGCCTCAGACACAACTGGAGCATGTGATACAAGAGGTCCGGCCGAACGCCGACAGAGCCCAGCCCGACCTCCACGATGACTTGCGCGCATTGCGCTAGGAAGTGTCCGATCTTGTGCTAGAATTCACCAAGGTACTGAGCAATAGGGGAAGTTGAGGACTTTGAGCACCAGAGTTGCACGGATTCTCCTTCTCCATTCTTCTTCTCCGTTGTTCTCTTCTTCTTCCTCGTGGAGCTTGAGATTGAGGTAAGGAAAGCTAGAAATCTTAGATTTTTATGATTTATGGGGTTGTTGATTGAGTAGAGAACTCAAAATTTGTGTGAATTCTGAAAATCTGAACTGGGAAAAAAAGGATTGAAGTTGTTTGCTTGCGAAAGTTGAAACTTTGTTGTTCTTGATGATCTCCTTGAAAATTTGATGCATGCATGTTATGCTTCTTGAAGCTTTTGTGTTGCATGTGGTTGATAGTGTTGCATTTGAGTTGTAGCATGGATTGAGTCTCCTTGGATTACAGGTTTATGAAGGATTTGAGTGAAAATCGAAGGTGAAACCCATGGATTTTTAGAAATTTTGAGACTCACAACCATGGCCGTGGATTCACAGCCATGGCCGTAGGCAGTGACGGATTCAGAAAACTTAAATAGTGGGGGAAATATTTAAAGACTTAAATTTGTTAAAATATAAAATAAAATTTCTATAAAGACAAATATATATCATAATTATTCTCTACGAGTTTTCATAGTTTGAAAATATTGAATAATTTGCTCATTTTTAATACTATCAAAAACCTCTCTTTCTCTATATAAGTAACTAAACAATCATTTAACCATTCATCTCCTATACGATTTCACATTCAATTCTTGATGATATTCATAGTATAAAAAGCTCTTTCAACTGATGTAGTACTTTTACTCTACCAAATTCTTATTGAATCAAGAAAAATCCATTAATAAGGATTATTTCATGTAAAAAAATATTAAGACAAGAGATATTATGTGAGACCCAAAATCTTCATTCCCTTTTCTATTCTTTCTACTCTTTCTTTCTCTTCCCATTTTTTCTTTTCTTCCTTCACTCACTTACTTTCACTCGTTGTGCTAGAATTCACCAAGGTACTGAGCAATAGGGGAAGTTGAGGACTTTGAGCACCAGAGTTGCACGGATTCTCCTTCTCCATTCTTCTTCTCCGTTGTTCTCTTCTTCTTCCTCGTGGAGCTTGAGATTGAGGTAAGGAAAGCTAGAAATCTTAGATTTTTATGATTTATGGGGTTGTTGATTGAGTAGAGAACTCAAAATTTGTGTGAATTCTGAAAATCTGAACTGGGAAAAAAAGGATTGAAGTTGTTTGCTTGCGAAAGTTGAAACTTTGTTGTTCTTGATGATCTCCTTGAAAATTTGATGCATGCATGTTATGCTTCTTGAAGCTTTTGTGTTGCATGTGGTTGATAGTGTTGCATTTGAGTTGTAGCATGGATTGAGTCTCCTTGGATTACAGGTTTATGAAGGATTTGAGTGAAAATCGAAGGTCATAAAATTCAAAGTTTGATTTCAAATATTGTTTTTTTTTTAAATATCTAATATCATTTTCATTAACTTTCATATTCATCTTATCAACATAATCATTTTTTTTATTTTTATAAAATTTAATTATCTAATTTATTAAAATTAAGAAAATTGATTAATTTACCCCTAATATTAATAAGACTTTTACTCTACCAAATTCTTATTGAATCAAGAAAAATCCATTAATAAGGATTATTTCATGTAAAAAAATATTAAGACAAGAGATATTATGTGAGACCCAAAATCTTCATTCCCTTTTCTATTCTTTCTACTCTTTCTTTCTCTTCCCATTTTTTCTTTTCTTCCTTCACTCACTTACTTTCACTCGTTGTGCTAGAATTCACCAAGGTACTGAGCAATAGGGGAAGTTGAGGACTTTGAGCACCAGAGTTGCACGGATTCTCCTTCTCCATTCTTCTTCTCCGTTGTTCTCTTCTTCTTCCTCGTGGAGCTTGAGATTGAGGTAAGGAAAGCTAGAAATCTTAGATTTTTATGATTTATGGGGTTGTTGATTGAGTAGAGAACTCAAAATTTGTGTGAATTCTGAAAATCTGAACTGGGAAAAAAAGGATTGAAGTTGTTTGCTTGCGAAAGTTGAAACTTTGTTGTTCTTGATGATCTCCTTGAAAATTTGATGCATGCATGTTATGCTTCTTGAAGCTTTTGTGTTGCATGTGGTTGATAGTGTTGCATTTGAGTTGTAGCATGGATTGAGTCTCCTTGGATTACAGGTTTATGAAGGATTTGAGTGAAAATCGAAGGTGAAACCCATGGATTTTTAGAAATTTTGAGACTCACAACCATGGCCGTGGCGACAAACATGAATTTAACCCCCCTTCGGCCGAGCATACCTTTCAGTTGTGTTTATATTACTAGGCCTTAATGAATATGACAAAAAATTGGAAAGTAAAATATTCCATTAAAGTATGGCCAATCAGTACGACTACTTACACAAAAAATCATCTTTGTCCACGACGCCAATGGTCGATCACAAAAGGCACTAATGGCCTGATTACAAGTAAGCGAAAAATCCTAACCCTAACCTACTACCACGAGAGTCAACCTCTTACACCGCAGCCGAGTCCTCCGGATTCCCATCGCCGACCACATCAATGATCGACTCCTCCTCCCTTGCCGGTGGGGCCTCTTCGTCAGGCTGGGCACCTTGAGGGAACTCGGCGTAACTTATGAACTTTCCACCGTAGAAATCCCGACTAACATCAAAATTGAAGTCAGCCGGGACCTCACAAAAGTAGAAGGCCTGTAGCATAGCATGTTGGAAGCCGGCATCGTGCTGGTCGAGAATTTTCTCGGTGGCCTCGGCTTCGAACTTGGTAGCAGCCTCATTTAGCCGAGCAATCTCGGCAACTGCAGCAGTGGCCTCAACTTTCATTTTCTGGACCGTCAACTTCAAGTCGTCGGCCTCTCTCCTATGGGTGTCGGCTGCCCTCTTCAGTTCTTCGGCCGACTTGGTGACCTTTGCATTGACGGTCAATGCCTCCTTCAACGTCACCTCAGCCTCCTTAAGCCGCCCCTGCAACCTCTCCTCGGAGACAACTGACCTCATCATAACATGCTTAGCAATTAGGGAGGACGTTTGGCACAAGGAAATTCAAACCGGCCACGACCACCGAGGTTAGCAAAACCGACTACACTAGGAACATGCACACTACTACTAGCGGTCGGAAGCAACATCTGCCACTCCACGTCGAGAACCACAACCCTATACAATTAAAACGTCTTCGTCTTTCCCATCCTCGACGCTGCGGGGGTTGTATACCGTATGGTGGCTGACTAGGCCGAATACCCGAGTTCGTGGCCGACTAGGCCGAATACCCGAGTTCATGGCCGACTAGGCCGAATACC